TATATACACATATATATATATATATATATATATATATATATATATATATATATATATATATGTATATATATACATACATACATACACCCACACCTAAAGGATTATTAGGAACACCATACTAATACTGTGTTTGACCCCCTTTCGCCTTCAGAACTGCCTTAATTCTATGTGGCATTGATTCAACAAGGTGCTGAAAGCATTCTTTAGAAATGTTGGCCCATATTGATAGGATAGCATCTTGCAGTTGATGGAGATTTGTGGGATGCACATCCAGGGCACGAAGCTCCCATTCCACCACATCCCAAAGATGCTCTATCGGGTTGAGATCTGGTGACTGGGGGGGCCATTTTAGTACAGTGAACTCATTGTCATGTTCAAGAAACCAATTTGAAATGATTCGAGCTTTGTGACATGGTGCATTATCCTGCTGGAAGTAGCCATCAGAGGATGGGTACATGGTGGCCATAAAGGGATGGACATGGTCAGAAACAATGCTCAGGTAGGCCGTGGCATTTAAACGATGCCTAATTGGCACTAAGGGGCCTAAAGTGTGCCAAGAAAACATCCCCCACACCATTACACCACCACCACCAGCCTGCACAGTGGTAACAAGGCATGATGGATCCATGTTCTCATTCTGTTCACGCCAAATTCTGAATGTCTCAACAGAAATTGAGACTCATCAGACCAGGCAACATTTTTCCAGTCTTCAACTGTCCAATTTTGGTGAGCTCTTGCAAATTGTAGCCTCTTTTTCCTATTTGTAGTGGAGATGAGTGGTACCCAGTGGGGTCTTCTGCTGTTGTAGCCCATCCGCCTCAAGGTTGTGCGTGTTGTGGCTTCACAAATGCTTTGCTGCATACCTCGGTTATAACGAGCCACATACTGCCACATACAGTGAGGAAAATAAGTATTTGAACACCCTGCTATTTTGCAAGTTCTCCCACTTAGAAATCATGGAGGGGTCTGAAATTGTCATCGTAGGTGCATGTCCACTGTGAGAGACATAATCTAAAAAAAATAATCCAGAAATCACAATATGATTTTTTAAACTATTTGTATGATACAGCTGCAAATAAGTATTTGAACACCTGAGAAAATCAATGTTAATATTTAGTACAGTAGCCTTTGTTTGCAATTACAGAGGTCAAATGTTTCCTGTAGTTTTTCACCAGGTTTGCACACACTGCAGGAGGGATTTTGGCCGACTCCTCCACACTGATCTTCTCTAGATCAGTCAGGTTTCTGGGCTGTCGCTGAGAAACATGGAGTTTGAGCTCCCTCCAAAGATTCTCTATTGGGTTTAGGTCTGGAGACTGGCTAGGCCACGCCAGAACCTTGATATGCTTCTTACAGAGCCACTCCTTGGTTATCCTGGCTGTGTGCTTCGGGTCATTGTCATGTTGGAAGACCCGGCCTCGACCCATCTTCAATGCTCTAACTGAGGGAAGGAGGTTGTTCCCCAAAATCTCGCAATACATGGCCCCGGTCATCCTCTCCTTAATACAGTGCAGTCGCCCTGTCCCATGTGCAGAAAAACCATGCATGATTTCAAACCATGACGTCTTAGTGTATTACCAACAGTAACCTTGGAAACGGTGGTCCCAGCTCTTTTCAGGTCATTGACCAGCTCCTCCCGTGTAGTTCTGGGCTGATTTCTCACCTTTCTTAGGATCATTGAGACCCCACAAGGTGAGATCTTGCATGGAGTCCCAGTCCGAGGGAAACTGACAGTCATGTTTAGCTTCTTACATTTTCTAATGATTGCTCCAACAGTGGACCTTTTTTCACCAAGCTGCTTGGCAATTTCCCCGTAGCCCTTTCCAGCCTTGTGGAGGTGTACAATTTTGTCTCTAGTGTCTTTGGACAGCTCTTTGGTTTTGGCCATGTTAGCAGTTGGATTCTTACTGATTGTATGGGGTGGACAGGTGTCTTTATGCAGCTAACGACCTCAAACAGGTGCATCTAATTTAGGATAATAAATGGAGTGGAGGTGGACATTTTGAAGGCAGACTAACAGGTCTTTGAGAGTCAGAATTCTAGCTGATAGACACGTGTTCAAATACTTATTTGCAGCTGTATCATACAAATAAATAGTTAAAAAATCATACATTGTGATTTCTGGATTTTTTTTTTTAGATTATGTCTCTCACAGTGGACATGAACCTACGATGACAATTTCAGACCCCTCCATGATTTCTAAGTGGGAGAACTTGCAAAATAGCAGGGTGTTCAAATACTTATTTTCCTCACTGTATATATACACACACACACCCCATTTAATTTGAATAAATGTCCATTCTAGTAGAGCCTAATATGGTTATAAAATAGAGCTACATCGAGCAGCATACGCCATAATGGAGTTACAGATGGGGGATATTATGATGCAGTGTATAATATAATAATGCATATTCCTCTCTTACTGACTTATTCAAAGTAATTAAGTAATTTTGCAAAAGATTAAAGAAACATTTTACTGTGCAACATTAAAAACAAGAAGAAAAAAAACAAGGTGTTTTTATGTTTATTCAAGCAGCAGATCAAGCGTAAAAAAATGACACACTCTGTGACCTAATGAAGTAGGCCCTCTACTGGATTCCACAGTTTGGTGAATATGAATGCTAAAATGATATTCCTGAAACTCAATCTTCCAAAAAGGTATGGCTTATGTATTTCTGAATTTAAGCAAAGAGAATAGCCACCCACTAGGCAGTGCAGTATTAGTGTCCAACTATTTGAAGATATTACAGTATGGGATACACTGAATAAACTGAAAATAATTTGAAATGGGTCCACAAGCTCAGCATTATCAAACAAAAGACATAAAAACTGGTTTATTACCTAATATAGGCTTATAGTCACGATGGGTCATCATGGAGTATGCATCCCTTCATTTAGACATTTTAATTTATTATCCAGTGCCACACTTTCAGCTACATCTATGTACCAGCACCCATTATACACTTGCCGTGTATCCATAAAACAGAGGTTACAGAGTGTCCCATCATGTGTAGGACATTTATGCAGGATGTTGTGGCAGTCAAAGCGCCTGCATTCCTTGCTGCTGAGCGGTATCCTGGAGTTGCTGCATGACAGAGTCCTCCCCTGTTTGTGATAAACCTCCAGTGAGAATGTACAACATGCCCTCTTCCTGACTGCCCTCTGTAGCATTGACGGGTAGCCCCTCAGTCCTCTGCTGCTCCAGCATCACCCCTCTCAGTTCTTCCTGCAACTCTGAAGGAGCTACCGCCGATTCTTCCTCTAGCTCCTGACCTTCAGCCTGGATACTGTCCTCATCCTCCTCCGCTTGCCTGTTTTGTCTTTCCCTCATTAGCTGCTCTGTCAGTTCCACACTCTCGTAGCGAATCAGCTGCAGCCGCAAGAAGCCATCCTCGTGCTCCTTGTACCTGACAGAGCGATGAAGAGGACACCAGTGCTGCAACACCCCATCCATATCAAATTCAGCATTACTGGACAGATCGATATTGTCAATGCAAGGCTTACCTGAATCTGGGGTGTCCCGAGGGCCATTTGAATTGGTGCTTTTTGTGCAGATGGACAGTTAGGTTGTTGCCCCTGGTGAAGCACTGACTGCACACATGGCACTTGTAGCGAGCTACAAAGTTCCCCTGATTACAGAAAAAGAGAGAGAACTAGAAATGACACTTAAACTCCTATCTGGGAGCAAATTTACAATAATTTTAAATATTCCCTTTCTCACCTCATGCCTTCTTTTATGGTGAATCTTCAAGGTGCCATGGGTACGAGATGTGAAGCCACAGCCAGGAACGTCACAGTGGAATGCCGGCTCGCTGCTGTGGGTATCCAGGTGTTTGCGTAAATCTACCAGATTCTTACACCTGCAAATACAAAACCAAGCGGGGGAGTGTTAAGAAAACAACAACTTAAGCGTTTCACAGCTTTATCTTGTGTTGCACTGCTGCAGCTTCAGAGGATGCGGTACCTGTATTCGCAGTATTCACAGCTGTATGGCTTCTCGTTACTGTGTCTGAACTTAATATGGTTGCGCAGTGAAGAGGGTGATGGACATGTCATGTCACACAGCGGGCATTTGTAGTGGCTCACTGCACCAACAACAAAAAGACAAACCGGTGATGAGATTTAAAACGTCTATTAACTCTGCAGAGCTGTTTGTTGTCAACAGAGATTTCTTTGCAATGTGACCCGTTCACCAGATGCAGGGGTCTAGAGAGTAGAGGCTTATTAATGAATGTTTATGCGGACACCTGTGCAGAAACTCAATTAGCAGTGTGAAGTAGGTGGGAAGTGGGTATGGATTTATGGCAACCCTGGTGGGAAATAAAGAAAAATCAAACAAACTTACTAGTAAAAGGACTATTTTGGAGTGTTCACTGGGATGGAAAAGCTAGTACCGGTATATGTTTTATGAAACCATCTATCAGTTCTCAAGTTTTATTTTGTACAGGTATGAGCGGAAACCAATGTCTACATGGCAGGTAGAAATCAATCTGAAAATCTATGGCATGGTTTGGGTAAATGATTGTCAGTAGGGCTTGTGCGATTCTAAGTTAGTTGGCTCAAACATGCAAAAAGAGCAGTGCGTAAGTCCTCCCCAGCCCATTGGAATAACAACTGGTAACACAGACAACATGGAGGAGGAGAGACTGACCATGGGTTCTCATGTGGTCTCTCAGTAGTCTTTCTGTTGCAAAACGTTTGGAGCAGTGAGAACACTTGAACCGCTGACCTACAGCACACAAAGACATCCAAAGCGAGAATTACAAGATGATAAAATCTGAAAACAAACAAACAAAAAAAGACTTATAATCTTTACCTTCCATGGCGCTCTGTCGTATAATGTGGTCAAAGAGCTTGGTGTTGTTGGCGTACATCCCCCCGCAGCCTGGACATGCCACTACCTTCTCCTGGGTGTGACTGCGCAGGTGCTCCCGCAGCTTAGGACGCCCTTTAGCAGTGGCTTCGCAATCTGTAGATTGACATGCTTAAAACTTGGACTCAACAATGCTACATTCTTTATACTAAGCAGAAAATGTACCCTTTAAACTTCTTCGACCATAAATCGGTTGGGTAATCTTTATTTACATTGACATTTTTAAACTACTTGATATAAATCATGTTAAATTACACACCTTTCCATCCACAGCGTATCGGGAATTCACTGTCCCCTGCTGGTATATCTATGCACAAGCTATGCATCTCCACATGGCGATAGAACCACTCTGGGTTTTCATACGGTGGTTGCTTTGGCACATATGCACAGACAGAACAAACACGTAGCCAGAAATATATAGAGTTAAAGAAGAAAAATTCTGCTTCTCATCCCATTCATCTAAAATGTGTGCACTTGGAAGATAAACACTCCAAATAATCTCTAATCATCAGCCAAGCTTACCTCACATTCGTCCCAGAGGCAGACAAAATTGTCTGGGATTTCAGGGATGATGTTGTGGTTTTGGTAGCCGATGGAGCAGGTGCCAATTTCTGGCTGGGCATTAAGCACCTGCTGACCCAACTGCTTCAGCTTAGTATGGTAACAGTGGAAGAACAGGTGTCTTCGCAACTCTTCAGGACCCTCCACAGAACAATAACCACAGTCTTTCCAAAGACAGTTTCTCTCCCCTTGACACAATAAGCAAAGAGTTTGCATTAGTAGGGGCTACACAATGCACCAATATTTCTTGTTTATCATCCATCATTTGCACCGCAGCACATTGGATGTAAAATTAAATTGTAAATTTAGTTGTAAATCCTTTGTAATCAATGACAGGCTGAGGTCGACAACCTACAGACACCTGCACACGTGTGGTATCTTCCCTGGTGGAGGTCTGCAAGGCCTGAACTGTATACATCTTCACTTGTTTAGGAGGCGTTGAGTGGTGAACATTAGTGTTTGGCCATAAAATTAACCCTCTGTACCCTCAGCCATTGTTTCATTTCACTCCAGTGTGTTGCAGTAAGTTACAGACCCAAACCAATCTACTTCCAGGCTATACTTCCTTCCCGAATAACTAGCTACAGCTCTAAATAAACATTAATGTTAGACGAGCCACCGCCAGACACCTTGGACTACAAAACTACGTCCTCCTCACCTTCGGTTTCTTCTTCTTCGTCCTCCTCCGCCATGTTCAAAGCATTCAGGTGACCCTCCGCGTGCTTGCAGAAGTTCTCCATCCGACTGAAGGACTCCTGACACGAGCTCCATTCACACTCCAGTTTAAGTGTTTTCTTGTGGATCCGTTTGTTAGGAGGCATCTCTCTGACTCACACGTGGGCTAAACGTAGTGTGTTTTACACCGACTAAAGGTTTGACCATCGCCTGGCTTGTACCGCACCGGGTGCTGGTTGGTAACGTTACCTGTACCCAGTGTATCTAAAACCTCTACCGGGGCTGTTACAGAGATTTAGGAGCCTCCTCCTGAAACACTTTGACGAACGAAAAAACATGAAAAGTCTTACTTGAACAGGAGCTTCAACACAGTAACTTGCTGTTTAAAAGCAGCGACATGATGTGAATATTATGAGTTGTTTTGGGCCAGTCACAAGAACCGCGGGCTGCGTGCATCACAGATGCCTCCCCAGAAACAATGTATACTTTAATAGTTCCGGGTGTGACAGGTTCCGCCTCAAAATATCCTTTTAACTTTTTTACATAAAATTTTGGGATAATCGAAAGTAACTACGGTACTGTGTTGAGTATAATTTTTAAATACTTGTACTTTACTTACAAAAAATTTTTTTTTGTTACTTTATACTTCCACTCTAACTATATTTTGGAGGCAAATATGGTTATTTTTACTCCACATTTATTTAGCAGAAATAGTTAGATTAGGATTTTACATACAAAACATGATCAGTTTATGCAGTGTTATAGATTAATCACACTAGTTACTACAAAGTAGTAGAGCCCAATTCATGCCAATACTGATATAATTTAAAAAATCAAACAATATAGGTCGATATTCTTTTTTCCTTGATAAACACATAACATTAACAAACATTTATGATAAAGACTGAAGTACTCCAGTATAAATATGATCGTTAGTCAAGTATTTATACATTGTCATATTGCGACTTCTTATTAAGGAACTTCTTCATATACAAATAACAATGACGCCACAATTTTATATTTCAATTTTCTCTGCTTTTATTTTTCAGTTTGTGCGGTCTGTCTCAACAGTTTCTCGTTTGTAGTTACATTCCTAAGCAAAATAGTCCAGTGCAGGTTGACTTCACATTGTCACGTCTGCTGAACCTACTCTAGTCTTGAGTGATTATAGCCTCCTTATCTTCTCACTGCATTTCTTCACAATCACCGTTCTGTGCACGTTTGTTCAGCAGTAAAAATAACAAACAAAAAAGAAACTAACCACCCATGTTGAATGGATTGATAGTTATGCAAAATGAAGAGTGATTGGGTACATTTTTGTTCAACAGCAGATTCAACCAATGGACCACTGTGTGAATATTTTTATATTTTCAGAGCACTTCTACATCCATCAGTCAAATCGCAACAGTTTAGTAGCAGTCAGCCATTGATGGTGGCTGCTCTGAAGACTGGAAGTCATCCCCACTTACTTTACTTTCCTTTAAAAAACAAGTACAAAAATATGCTTTCAGCGTGGATACAAGATAATTAAGATCCAGTTACATTTTCCTGCTTGTACTTACTGAGACCAGGAGAATAACAAACCGTACTGCTGTTGATGTCAGACCCTTCGCTGTTCATGCTTGTATGTGAAAAAGTTGTACCAAAGAGAAATATAGACTTAAACCTTGCACTGGGCCTTTACTGCAGTTAGAGTCTGAGGCAGAAAAGTAACAGTGAGGTAATGGACTTAAAAAGGCAGATGAACCACGACCCTGTAAAATAGTCCCATAACAATATCCTATTTTTTCAGTCAGGATTCTCTCCACTTTCCCGGAGAGCTGTCTAGACGTCGTAGAAGAGACGCACCAGATGATAACGGATCCCAAAAGCTAGTGCACTGCCCATCACCTGAGAGATACACAGAAATCAGCATCCAGTAAAACATTCAGGCACTTCCTAATGACCAACATAATTCCAGGGTGTTTGGACACAGCAGGTGCTTTGTTATACCTGTATGATGAGCATGATGACTGTGAGGTTTCTCTCATGGGTGGGACCGAGTAATTTCAGGACCAGATTTATTAAGGTCATGTTGTTGCACTCAATAAAATCATCATCTCCCTCCTGGCCTCTTCGCACCTCTAGCAGCTTCAGTAACTCTGCCACCTGTTGAGGATTAAGGGCATTATTGTTATCAACTCAGCTGCAAGCCTGCCACTGGCCTGCCTTGTGTGTTTTCCCACCTAGACAAATCCTTCCTCACTACATGTACTTTTTTAATGAGTAACGTGGGACAAGACCTCTGAATCACTACCCACTTCTCTACGAATATTCAGTGATTCAAATAGTAATATAATAAAGTGTAACAAAATGTATATTGAGGGTACACGCTACCCCTTGCATGGGCACGGCAATTGTATACTGGACTGTGGGTATGATGTGCATACAGTATGAGCAAACAGGTTTTATATCAAAACCAAATAATGCCACTGCCTTCTGACAAAGTCAGTGGAAAAGAGCAGAAACAATTAGTTGATTAAATTAATAGTCCAGACAGAAAATACATTTTAGCAAGTAATTTAGCCAGACATCGTCTACTTCCAGCTTCTCCAACTTGAGGATTTGGGGCTTTTCTCAGTTTTACATAATATTTAAAGAAATATCTTTTGAGTTTTTGACCTGTGGTCAGACACACATCACCTTGGGCTCTGGGGAAATATGACACACATTCATTACAGTTTTGTGATTTCATTTAGACAAAATGGTTAAGCAAGGTTTACCTTCAGGATGAGGTGTCCTAATTTAGAGAGGTCCTTTCTTTTGAATTTAGAGTAGCTCATTCCCAGTTTGCCTGTGTCTGGATTCAGCCTTTCATTAGCAGTGACATTGGGAGAAAGACAAAAAGGATAAAAGACAGACATAAACACAGAGTACATAATCAGCATTAATGAACAATGAATCACAAACAAATATAAAGTCCATGAGCCCAGTGTTACCTGGGGAGCCGGTGTCTGGGACAGGGGATGATGTGAAAAAGCTGAGGCAAGGAGTAGACAAAGTTAACCACTTGAGGAATGAAGAACAGCAGCATTGTTTTGCTGAAGTGTCCCAGGATGCCGACTACAGCGAAGGTCATCCCAGCAAAGTAGCAGAAAGTGTCTCCCACAAACACAGATGAGGGGTACCTGTGACAAAATAGGTTGCAAGTTGACAGGATATAGGGGCACAGACACATCTAGGGCCAGATTTACTAACATCCCGTATAAAGAGTACTAAATTGCATGTGCATTCTAACATATTGCACATGCAATTGTAGTACCCATTATGGGTGATCACCTAAGAATTATTGTCCAGATGACAACAGGTGCACACACAATGGAGGTGGCAGTATTTAAATGAGGGTTTTGCGTGTTTTAATGGTTTAATGGCCATGGAGAGTTGGGAGGGAAAGCAACCACTGCCTAAAAACCTTGGTTTGTTTCATTCAGTGAGTCCTGAGTATGTGGAAATTGTTATGTACCTGCCCATCCTGCCTAAGACTGCACTAAGTACTTGGGACAGCACACCTGAAAAACTGCTTTAGGATACTGCAACTTTCTAAATTCTACCATCTTGCGAAGAAAAGAAGTCAGGTCAAAACGAAATTTGCTTTATTGGCATGAATGTTAACACAACAGTATTGCCAAAACTTCAAGGAAAATACAAAAGAACAATACAATTCATATAGTTCATCGAATAAATAAAATAAAATAATTTTATTTCTATATATTAGGGCTGGACGATATGGCCAAAAATGTTATCACGATAAAAAGTTTCATATTTCATATTTCTTTTGAGTTTAAAGGCTGATTTTTGCTACTAAGGGAAAGTTGAAGAAACCTGATGGTTAATTGTGGTTTAAACTCATCTTTATGGTCAACACTTGATGCCAAACAGTGGATCAATTCACAAATCTGAGGTAGAACATTCAAAACAATTATGATAAAATCTTTTTCAACACATATGCATGAGTAAAATTAAGTAAAAGCTTTTTTTCAGTCCTTTTTCCACAACAAAATAACCATCTTCATAAAAAATTAAGTCCTAATTCGTGTATGATTCAATTGAATAAAATCAAACATTTATTGAATATTTATCAAACATTTGTTATATTGTTATTGAAAAAAATTATATTGCGATAATTATTGTTATTGTTTTATTGTCCAGCCCTACTATACATTGGATATAAAATAATATTATCAAATTTTATTTAATTTATTATCTAATAATTTGCTGGTGATATCAAGTTTGTACACTTTTTTGCTCACGCAAACCTTTAGTAAATCGGGCCCCTAATGTAATAAAAATGTTCACAGAACTGCCTCAGGTAATAGGTTTAACTTACCAGTTGTGGTAAAAAAGTGCTAATGTAGTGAAGAAGAACGGTATCATGAAGTAGAGGGAGAAAACATGGTCATCACGGTAATCTCCTGAGAAATTAGATAACACAATAAACCAATGTTATGAGGATTTTTTTTGTGCAACTGGAAAGACAGTATAATTTCATGTTATCATTACCACATATTTACTTTTTTCACTTGTTTCAGGGATTTTCAAGTAAAATGAACATTGGAAACCAACACACACATGACTGGCAGTGTAAAGAGGGTGTGATCTGTAAATGCTGATGATGAGAAAGGAAACAAACCACACACCACCAAGCTCCAGCAGGTTGAAGAGGATGATGGAGCCGGAGATGAACAGGGCTTGACCTGACTCGATGCCGTTGATGCCTGCAAGGATGTTGATGGCATTTGTGCAGAACACTGCAAGCATTCCCATGTAGACGTAGTAGAGGATACCTGCAGAAGATCATTAAATCACATCATTTACAGAATGACTGAACATGAGTGCAACAGCACATTGTCCAGAAATAAGTTTATGCATGTCCTGCTTTATGTTTTGTTAGTGGCTCCCAGCTGTAAATGAGTAAAGACAGCTCCAACAAAGATCACGCCGGAGGGATTGTATATCGCAAGAGGAGCTGGAGGATGTGACTAAGGTGGAAGGATGTCTGGGCTACTTTGCTGAACCTGCTGCTACCTTGAAAATGCTGCACACAACTCACCCAAATCCAAGTGCAGCCCAAGCAGGGCTCTGAAGGGCTTGGGCACCACGATGACCGTGTTGCCGAAGTTGGTAAAATAGACCATGAGCAGCGGCAGGGAAGCCATGGTGGGAAGCAGGAGCTTGTGTCTCCACCGCAGGTTCAGCACATCGTCAGCAAACCCCAGAAAGATCATGCAACAGATGGCCAGAAGTGCACCAATCAGCTGTACAAACTGATGCAGAAACAACAACACAGAGAACACAGCTGGGCTTCAGATTTGAGAGAAACATGCGGGTTTAACTACACATCAATCAACCCACCTCATCATGTGGGAAGCCCATGCACTGATCTCCTACAAAGCAGCTGAGGAAAGGCACTGGGAT